CTTGTAGTTGTACATAGGAAAACCATTGACACATATATCCTTCTCATATCAGATCCTCTCTTGTCTTTAATTTAAAGTCCCTTTGAGAAAATTCCAATACATCACCATAAGTTAACCATGTATGTTTAGTGACAGTTAATTTTCTTAAATGGAAGGTGCTCTGAAAAGATTTCTAATTTGTCTGGGTAGATTATGAATGCACAGAATGGGGAGTGCAGAGCAAGGGGAAATCTTACTATGCAAGTGGAATTCTATTTAAGGATGTTGGATTCCACCTTAATGTGGGAACACTATATTGCATCTGCTTAGTAAGAACAAAGATTTGTTAGACCTAGCACATTCATTTCTGAGTAGACATGTAGTTCTTCACTGATATGTACAGTAGTTCCTTCTGGAACAAGTTTCATAATCCTTTGGGTTTAGGGCAGTGCTGTTCTTTCTTTTCCTGAAATTAACTGTAGGTTTTCAGGCTGAAATGCAAATCTTAATCTATCTTAATTATGGGAGAAGTCTGATGTCCAAAAATCAAAGGTTGTGTTCTCCGAGAAATTTATATTTAAAAGCAACTTTGTAACCAGCATGTTTTAAAGACCTTTCTGATACCTTTATGATTAAATATTCAGATTATACTGAATATTTAGCAGGATTTAGTATACAGAATTTTTAATATTATTAAAAATTTAATAAGTAGGACATAAATTAACAATCTTATGGACTGAACCCTAAAACATTGAGAAGCTAATATTCCTATTAAGAAAGACTTCACTCAACATTTTTATTGCTGATTCACAGTATGTTTTTATTGATTTTATGTTTTATTTTTAGATGAACAATGTTTAGTGCATATGCTGTTGGTTTTAGTTATTAAATTCTGTGTGTTTCTGTTTTCAGAGAATTCTAAAGTATCTAAAAATGTCAAATTACATTTTTGGAGGCTTATTTTACTTGTATTAATATTTCTTTTGTCCGTGGGGCCTCATAAACTTTGTTCTATTCCCTGAGCTATAAAATAGAGTTCATAGCAAGGAATGTTGAAGATCATCTTGGTTTTGTCAATTTTATAAGCTTTTTCAAATTGTGCAGTGACTCATTTTTTTGGACTGTGTAATAACAAATTATTACTGGCCTTAGGATGATGAAAATGTAAGCAAATAGTGTCTGAAAATGACAAGTGGGGATGACTGTGGATTTGAGGCTTCTTTTCTTAAGCAAGTCTAGATTTTGTAGACTATTTGAACGGGAGTTTAGGTAGAAATGGAGTTCAGTATTGTGGCATTGATGATTGTATACTTATTTTTTATTAAGGCTGGTAATATAGTGTTGTACAGTCATAAACCATGGTTTTGGGTAATTAGCAATGGGTCTGAAAAATTGCTTGGGTCCAAATTTTGCTAGAACATGCAGGATTGGAAATGAAAAGGTGCCAGTGTAATTTCTAAGGTTTTAGAATAATAGAATCGTGATATCATAAAAGTTGGTAGGTCCTTAAACATCCTTTTGTCTAATTCCTGATCAGTGCATGATCCACTAAAGGATCTATGACTGATGACTATCTAGCTTCTGACTGAAGAGTTGTAGCGAAGGAGAACTTTTCATGTGGTAACCTATACTACTGGATGACAGCTTGTACAGTCTGATAGCTCAGGAGGGGAAGAAAAAATGTTTTCAAAATGCATCTGATAAATCCTTGCTTATTTCTTACAGATCAGATGTTACTCAATGTAGCCTCTTTGATCAATGTAATTAATAGAAATGCAATCACGATCCAATAATACTGCAATTCAGAATTATCTTTCAAATGTCTCAGTAATTTGGAAGCGTATGCTACTTAATTATATTTCACGTGTTACATATTAGAATACTTGTCTTTGTTTTAGGTAAACAAATATTAAAAATATATGATGGGAATGATGCTGTAAAACGTAATCAATATCGGCTTATTACCATTCCAAGGATTGCAAAAAATGAAGAAGTTGTGGTAAGAATGCCAACAATCCAAACTTAGTTCTCTATTTCTTGAAAATACTGAAGAATTTAATTGCGTTTGTATGAGAAACTAATAATTTGATTCAAGTGTTATTCTTTTATTGCAGAACAATAACCAGTGAGAAAGTAACTAGTAGCTGATGTAGTACTGGTATAGATATCTGTTCTAAGTTTTATCTTAATTTTCAGTATCTTTTATAATCTTTGTCTTGTGCATAATGCTGCTCTTTATATTTTGAGTTTTCATTCTAAATAGAGAGTCAACAGTTGAAGGCTGTCAGGCTAAGTTAGGCCTACTTAATGGGAGGGGACATTTGGTCACTAGTTGTCACTGTACCAACAAAGGAGATTAAGTAAAGCTTTTGTTGAGTTGAGCTTGGTGACTAGAAGGCCCATGTTGATTTCTTAGTAAATTTAGGAAAACAAATTGCTCTTATTTTCTTCTGGAATGTCTCTTCAATTTCTCATCTGTTCTGGAATCCTGGCATGACCCAGTAGTCTCCCATTCCAGGGCTAACCAGGTCTCACCCTGTTTAGCATTTTCAAGAACAACCTAAGGTGGACTACATTGCTACTAAGTGGTACCTGATATGGTACATGATAATATATTATGATAGAACTTGCCAATATTGAGGAGCGATTAGAGTTTCTGGTTTGCCATTTTTCACTCTTATCTCAAAACTTCTCAGGCGAAATGTAACTGCTGATTGCAACTCTGTATGTGACATAAGTGAGGGCTATATCACCATTCCATTCAGGCATATTCTTTTGATTTTTTTAAAAAACAAGGATTTACTGTTGTAGGAGGCTGCACTGAGGGCATACTACATCAGTGATGATCAACAAGATTACGAACTCCAGACATTCACTCAGCAGGCCTTGTTTTGTGACGACATCATTAATAGGAACGATACCATTGAAGAGGCGCAGCCTGGGTCTGTATTCCGAGAAGCAGTTCCTGAGGCTTGGGTTATCAGAGCTAAACCTAAGGAGAATGAAGTCATAAAGATTTATCCTGGCTGGCTGAAGTGAGTCATCTTTTTCTCAGTAAATTCCAAATAGGAGGACTTGTATTGCATATTTATTTACCCAAAGGGATGCCCCCCCCCCAAAATAAAACAGAAAAGAAATTATAAGCAGACAGGTAGCATGTGCAATGCCCATCTTCCCTACCATGTCAACCTCGGGTTGCTAAATCCATCTGAAACCAGTTCTGGAAGGAGTAGCTGCAGCAGAAAGAGAAGGAAGAAGAAAGAACAAAATTAAATGGGAATGAGTCAAGGGGAAGAAAGAACTAGACAGGAAAGGGAAAAAGAGAGAGAAAGAAGTCCTGTACAGGCATAACATGGATTAAATTCTTCAAGCAAACAGCTCTTCCAAAGCAGCTGCTAATCTTCAGGCTAATCTTCAAAGGCATCCACGCCTTGCAGCAACAAATGCTTGTAGTCATGTCTAGCTCCTGTATAGTCCTCTGCTTTCAGCAGTTGCTTCTATTCTTATCAGGGAATGCAAGAGAACCCCCCCCCCCCAATTCCTAGATCCCCCTTGCGTGAAGGATAAAGTTCTCTTGCTTGGAGCTCAACAGCGAGGGACTACATGAACATATCCATGTTGTTTGTATAGCAACATTTCCTGTTGGCCTTCTATCCAAGTACTAATAAAGTCAGATAGGAGCTGCTAGCCACTATGGCATATTATCAAAGAAATGAGGTTATTTATTTCATCATGTCAACCTTGTTTTCCTTTATACATAAATAAACAGTTAATTAAGAGTTAGTTAAGTACATCCAGGTAGTCACTGCGTTGCATTATTTTAAAACCATTTAGGATATGGAAGGCTCTTGTCTTTTTCTTTCTTTGTATGGTTTAACTATGCATTATGAATAATTAATAGTAAAATTGAAATTAATTTGTGGACCTACTGTACTTTGATGGGATTGAAAAAAGAGCAGCATTGTTTCAGAGTCACATTCAGTAAAGCTACAACTATTATATTGTTGACTCATTTTTTTGGAATTTCAACTAAAAATCCCTTTGCCCAATCCTTTGAATAAGTCTCTCTAGATTGAATTATAAGAGTTTGGGGATAAAGCTGAATGACCCTGAAATGTCAGAAAAATCATGTTTGTTTGTTTGTTTGTTTGTTTGAAGTTGATACCACTCAACTCCAACTGACTATTTAATTTTCATTCATATATCAAGTCAATTAATAGAAGAATCCATCCATCCATCCATCCATCCCAGTATTAACAATATAAAGAAACCACAAAAGTTATAATCATAACAATAAAAAAATAAAAGCAGGAAAAGAAAAAAAGGCCTGGGAAATTTTATTATAAACAGAATAAATCCCCCCACCCCAAAATGTGAACATACTGCTTAAATAAGTTCTTCTTTGCCCCTTTGTAAAATACACCCAAAACGAATTAAAACGTTGACAAATCACACATAGCAACAATCCATTCTTTAGATCAGGTACAGGTAGTCCTCGCTTACCAGCCACTTGTTCAGCAACCATTCAAAGTTACGATGGTCTGAAAAAATAACTTTATGACCAATTTAGTTACATCATGGCCATTACAGTCAGTGTGCCTGACCTGTTTTTTTTTCTTTTCCCTCCCCTTGCAGAGCAGAGAGATTAGAGAGGAAGTGATTGCAAGAGAGTAAGCTGTTTACTCTTGTACACATAGAAAGCAATGCAGTCACACTGGCAGCCTGGGGGTGGGAGCTGCAGGCATGCTACACAAACAGGTTTACACAAACAGGTTACTCTTTTGAAATCCCTTCCTCTCCAATCTCTCCACTCTGCGAGGTGTGGTGGGGAGGGAGAGAAAAAAAGCAAGTGATTTCTGTAGGCAATCTCTCCTTTGCTTGACCCTCCCCCCCAGAGTGGAGAGATTGGAGAGGAAGGGATTGCAAGAGAGTAAGCTGTTGGCTCCTCTACACATCGAAAGCAATGCAATTATGCCGACAGTGGGAAAGGGTCAGACAAAGGAGAGATTGCCTACAGAAATTGCTTTCTTTTTTCTCCCCCCACCCACCCACCTTGCAGAGCAGAGTGATTGGAGAGGAAGGGATTTCAAGAGAATACTGTAAGCTGTTTGCATAGCGTGCCTCTGGCTCCCAGCCCTGGGCTGCAGCATGATCACATTGTTTTCAATGTGTAGAAGACAGTAAGCAGGCACTCAAGCATTCCAAAGAGCAGGGGAGTGGTTTGAAGGCAAACAAAGGCTGAAAGCGTGAAACTGAGTAGTTTTGTCTCTTTCCAGCCGGAAAGCACAGTTGGGGTCACATGATTTTCCATTTAGCGAGTGCTTTGCTTAGCAGCAGAGTTGCCGGTCCCAATTAGGGTTGTTAAGTGAGGACTACCTATATGGATTTCTTCTTCCGATGTTGTATGCTGATTCATTTAGCCAATCTCCATGCCCCCAAATTCCACAGTCCTTGTTGTCATGATAAATTCAAAATATTAGCCAAGAAGAACAAATGCATTTTTATGTAGACAGCCACAGAGAAGACCTAATATGCCCTATCTCCCTAGGGTATGAGAAGGAGAGAAGGGAAGACACCGTAAGGCTTTCAAGAATCTGTTACAATAGCCTATCTCAGTAATGTATAGTTCTAGTCATACTGTGGAGTCTGTTCCCTGACCTGGACTACCTTGAAGGGCTGACACTTTAACACCTAGTCATTGATGCAGAATCATATCAATTGTATCCTGTTGATTTCAGTCTCAAATATGGCAAAGTACATATTTTGGGCAAAGTCCAAAACATATAAATGAGTATTCCAGCTCCTCAGTTGTGTCTCCAACAACAAGATGATTATAACGAATCCACTGATTAGATATTCTCTGAGCTGTCCAGTATATATGAAGCATATATTGTCATACTGTCCTCATTTTAAGCTAACTGGAAACTAATTTCACATTATTTGAAGAAATCTTTCATGGAGTTACTGAGTAGGACATTCAGGTAATATGATAAATGGGATGATAATCCATAAATGTGACCTCACTTTCTGTAAGAAAATTTGTCTTATTTTCTGCTGCCACAGGATTGGATATATGTAATTTATAAATTTTTTAAAAACACTTGATTAATAGGTCTGGTATCTGTTTATTCTTCTGTTTGTATCCCAAATAGATAAAAATTACAGTGTTACAGGTTTTAATTTGTTGCAGTTTGAAAGCCAATAACAAGTGAGACCTCTCCTAGTTCCCAATATTGTTGCCCAATTCAGTGTTAACAAAATTCTGTTTTGGAACCATAAAGTTTGTAGATGGATGGGATACATAAAAAGTTAATCAATATTTAATTGCCTCCTTTGAGGGTTTAAATCTCCTTAATAAAATATTTATTTTTTAGCAAAATATATTCTGGGGCTGCTTAATTAGGTGCATTCAACTTTTTTAATCAAACAAAGCACTAAGTTACATAGGTCTGTAATTAAGAATTGTTGTGGCATCCATATCACATGCTTTAACTTCAGATATCATCAGAAAACAATCTAGCTGAAGACAATTTCTGTGTCTAGAAGAGAAAGGAAGCTCAATTCATGTTGGGAATTATTAATAGAATGCCAAGTATCCGGTAATTGAATTGAAACATGTAATCTTGTAAAATATCATGAATCTCAGGATATAATTTGAGGGGTGGACTATTCTGATTTAAAAAGGGATCCAGATCACTTCCAACTGTTGTAGGGTTGTTTTAGGAGGCAGTTACTGAAAACAATTAGGTATTTATTTTGGAGAAGATGTAGTTGGACCGTTATAAATTCAGGAGTCTTAGACGTTGATTACCCGATCTGACAATCAATATGAAAAATTGCCTTTTCCACCTGATATTTCTTCTTCAGTGATTTACGTAGAAAATCTGTTAGATAAAATAACAACAGCCCTGGTACATTTTACCACTTACATAAACATCCCCCCACCCCCTGGCTTTCTGTAAAAACTAATTGTCTTTAAGGAGAATATGAGTCTCCTGCAAAAAAGCAATTGCAGTTTCCAACATTTTTAAATTTACCCAACACTTGTTTATGCTTGTGTGGAAAAAACAACACTTAATGTTGCATGTTACAAAGGACATGGTCAGTGGATAATTGGTGAACAAGAAAAAAAGCAAAGCCACGTGTATCCATGCTGTAGCTGGATAATAATGAAATTCCAAGTAGCAACAATCATCATTATAATTAAAATAATAATAATATTATACCTTTGCTCTGCCGCATTATTTTGCAGTCTTTAATTTCTTAATTGCTTAGCCAGTTTTTCAGAATAAGCAAGAGAAATGCTAGCATTCTGTGTGCATTATTGTTCCAGCAACATCTGTAAAGATACGTAACAGCTTCCTTTGTTTTAAATGAGATGCATAGTGTCATATCTTGCCGTGCTTTATTTATTTATTTATTTATTTATTATTTATATATCACATTTATATAGCTGCCCATCTCATACAAAGTGACTCTGGGCAGCATAGAACAATAAACAATATATTTGAAGAATGATGGGAAAGCTTGTAACCACTGAAATAGTAACCTTTAGTTTTAAAAACATATTCTTTCTTTTTTCATACATTACCAGGCAGTGATTCATACGCATTTGAAGAGTTTTTTAAAAGGGATCTAACTAAAGTTTAACTTTGTCCTAAATAGTTATTATTGTGTCATTGTTGTTTATTGTTATTATTCATTTTTTGTTTTGTTAGTTATTTACTTCTATGTTTGCCATCCAGAATCATGTTTGCTTGATGGGTGGCTATATAATCTCAGGCACTAATTATAGGTGATAGTAGCAAAGGTGTGAGTTAAGAACTAGATTTTAACCAGCTGCACAGAAAATGAAAGGGATCATAATGCTATAGTTTAAGAGCAAAACAGGAGGAGCCTTGAGGTTCCTTGATGATTAGCACAAGACAGAAGCTTCAGTGGGTGCCACCATAAAATTAATAAATAATATGTTCAAATAAGTAACAATAATAAATTCATACAGAAATTTTCCAATGATACATTCATATAAGGTACGTAAGTTGTATATATGTTGAGCTTTAGTAGCTTATTTGGTAATCTGCAGGGTCAATATCTCACAGCTTGACAAATAGTTCTGTTGTGGAGAATGTAAAAATATTGTTCTGTTTCTTTGACTCTCCTATCTTAAATATATACCTTTATCCACCTCCTCAGGGTTGGAGTGGCCTGTGTCTCAATACGCATAAATAAGGGAAGTACTACCGAAATGGTGATTAAAGAAGTTCTCCCACTACTTGGATACCAGGTAGGGAGTAACATCAGGCTAGTTTATTTTTCCGTGGTTTGATGACTTATATTTAATTGTCTTAATTCATAATCCTACTATAGTTCTAAATAAGAGGTATATGAAAATAGCTAGGGAATTCCTTTGCTAGTCCACTGGAGTTTTCATATACTTGTTCTTTTGTTTCTCCACATCCTGTGAAGTCCTGAGGAACTAGGTATTTGAGTAGCATTTTTTCTGTCTAGCTGCCATGTTGACTTTATTTGATAGAAGAATGATGGGAAAGGAAAGCAGAATAGGGAGGGTCAGGATGATCACTTTATATTTTGTACATTCCCTATGACTCCCCAAAAAGCAGATGGAAGGGCTTAGGTCTCTATCTTCATAAGATCTGACAGGACTGAAATTTACACTTTTTCTGCTCTTGTCCTCTTCTTAGAGGGGGTGAAGGTTACAGGGAAGGGGTCCTCTTCTGCATAAGATCCAAAAGAATTTGGATTAAATTTTTCCTACTTGACATGTGGCATGAGAAATCAGGATAAGATCCATGAGGATCCAGTTTTGGTGGTGTTTTTCTAAATACTAAGTGTAATCCACATGGTGCATCTGAGAGAGTTTGTCCTCTACTGAATAGTAGGCAATCTCCACATTTTTCTTTCATGCACTAGATCATGTTCTGCTCTGAGGACCCAAATTAATTTAAACAATTAAAGTTTAAGGCTGAGCATGGATGAGAATAATCCTCCTCCTCCTCCTCCTCCTCCTCCTGGCTTTTCTGGTTTCTTTCTGCACTGCACCTTGCCTAAATTCATAATCCCTTGTTAGTTAGCCACAAGCGATAATGCTAGTGAAGTTCTATACCTATTTTGTTAAAGCCAGAGGGACATTTTATGTAAAACATACCTCACTTCTTTAGCTTAAATCATTAGTGGCTGAGCATGACTCCTTCTATAGGTAAGTCAATATTTGATATTTTGGCAGTTATGCAGCATTCAAGGAAATTTGTGTTTCAATGTCTAGCAAAGTTCCACAAGTTGGTGTTGTTTTTCAAACTGCAATGCAGAATTTTCCATGTTTTCAAATAGTAAGAAGGCTGTAATACTAAAGGGAGGACAGCTTTGGTCTTATTTCTGTTTATAAATACATTTTTATTTTCTTTCTTAATCATTAAAACTTTTCACTTTAAAATCCTGCAGCTTGCTAGACATTTATTTTAACATGTCTGTCTTTTGGCAGTCAGATTGCTTCCAAAGCTTCAAATTGGTGGAGGTTCTGATGAGCTCCAAGCAAGGTGAGACACTGGTGATATTTACTGTTCTGCTGAACTATGTAAATGCAATTCAGCTTCTGTTTGAAGACCTGGACATTTTATTTTATTTATTTTTTATTGCAAGTTCACTCATTCCTAAGAATTTTCCAGACTGGCCATTCTGACTATGTTAATTAGTTGCATGATAGCTTTCAATTAAAAAGGAATCAATGAAGAATTGTTTTTTATTCTCCTTAGTTCAGCGAATGGTGCTGGATGATCATGAATCAATTATCAGCAGATTACAAGACATCAGAAAGGTAAACAAGGAAACCATACAATGTATTTTTTTATATTCTTGAATTCTTCACTAAATGTTCAAACTCCCATCTTATCACTATTTTTAAAAAATCACGGTACAAAGATACTTAGGCAGAATGGCTGGATTCACATGTAAGAAGATGCCCAGTTGCTGACATTTCTATTTTATAATTTATGGACTTTTCTAGAGAGGTGTTACTGCTTAACCAATCAGAAAATCCAGAAGAAACAAGATTTAGTATTTCATCCAATCTGAAACTTTGGTTTTGTCCCTCCTTTAAAAAGCCAGTAATCGGAAAATGAAAATATATAGTAGTTCCAAATCCTGGTTTATTTGAGGAAGGAGGCAAAAGTCCTAGTTCAGAAGTAACACTAAGCACTTGCTTCTGGTGGGCTTTGTCTTTGGTTGATGACATCAGCCAAGTTGTGCTGGTTACATATTGCTCATAAACTGCATTTCTGGCTTCTTGTTGCAACAGCTGTTGTGACCACATGTAGCTGCAAAATAGCTTGTCTATGTTCTTCCACTGTGTATTCTTGGCATACAATTTAAAGTTCCATGATATTAATCTAAAATTATTTGGGAGCCTGTTCATACTAATGGCATTCTAACTGCTTGTACTTTTCAAACTTTTGCTAACATGTAGCACAGACTGAGAATGGACAAGCAAATCCACACAAAAGGAAACTTCTCTGCTGGAGAATGATCCTTATAGTAGGCAGGCTTCATGATTTGGGAATCGTGTTTTGGATACTGATGGCAAGACTTCCTGGTTATAGAAGTCTTGACGTTCTCTCTGTATGAAATGTATTTTAAGGTGATGGATTTTATGTTTTCCTTACACAGACATCATTACGTCAGATGAACCAAACAAGATTTTACATTGTAGAAAACAATATATCAACTGTGTGTGTCCATCTGTTTGTTGGTGGTCTACCACTTCATCTTCCTCCGGACGAATACACAAAAATACTCAAAGATGAATTAGCCATCAAAAGTATGTCAGATACCCACCCCCCTTTTTCCTTTTTAATCTACATAAAATGAAACATGCTTTTATATTATGAAATATCCTCAGATATGGTCTGTTTTAAAAATTATGTTCCATTTTTTTTTTAAAACTTGTGGTAACTTGTAGAAAATGTTATAGCTGAAGTCTCCATTTAATCAGAGGCAGTCACCCCTATGCGCCGGACACTTATTCTTACCATTAATGAATTGTTCTACCCTTTCATTTCTCCTTGGATTGAATGACAGCCACTGACTTTCCAGTCTCATGTATATGATTTTATATGAAAATATTATTGGATTTAAGTGCATTACATTCATAAGTCATTTTTAGTTTTGGGGGAAACTGACAGAAAATAATAAAGAATACTGAAGTTGTGTTAAAATAATATCCTCTTAAGAAGAGTAGGTATGAAGACTGGTTTCTTTATAAAATTAACTAAGCTGGGCTTGGCTATTTTAGACAATGGAGAGAAAATGGAAATCTGTGAGTTGGGTTCATTGCTGTGTGAAAATATATAGGGTTCATTATTAAACATTGACCTTGTATGTTATGCAATCCTTCTGTCCCGTTTTCTCCATCATCACATTTCAGAGAATGAATGTGGGTTGTGTATATGCCTATCTGTTGGGTCCTCACAAGCTCAACTGCACAGCTGAAATTGTGCCTATGGTCATGTGGAATGTTACCCATCCAGTCCTTGTTTACAGCAATTTAAATTAAGATTAATAGTTAGCTTACATATGATTTGTGTTTATTTAACTAACATATTTCACCAGCAGTATTTGGAATTAACTTTGTTCTACCGTGCACCAGTTGATCCTATTTACTGTCCTGAAGCATTAGCTTAAAATCCATGAGCAATTTTGTGTTTAAATTTCACTCGTCTTCAGATAAACAAAACTAGTCTTCTAAAATATGTATAAAATGAGATAGTGTTAACCTACTAGCTGTATGCTTTTCTGTCATTTAGAAAAAGAAAACACATCTTTTAAAAGGTATACTTGGACAATAATTTTTTTTTTCAATTATTTCAGCAAATTTAGTTTCTGTGAGTCACATATATTCATCTCAAGGTAAGAATATTATGTTTTAATTCACGTTTGCCAGCTGAACTATTGGATGTTCTGTGTCCCTCTGCTCCATGTTTGGTGCATGTGAGAGCTACTCCTCTAGCTCTTCCCCTTCCTCCTAATTCTCTTCTTTGCATGTAGAAGCATAAACTCTTTCCTAACTGGACTATCGTGTATATATTTCATCTCCTGGGATAGAGTACATTCCACTTTTCAAATAAAATCTAGACTGTACCATAGAAAGAGGTCTTTTAAGTTGTTTTCCAGAAATAAACCCAGTCCCCAGAGATCCTAATGTTCAATAAATTTCTAGATTTGAGTGAGTGAGCTGAATGGCATACTAATCCTTAGTGCTGGGACAAATATGGTAACTCATAGTATTTTACATAAGAAATGTGGGCATGTCACATTAAACATAATCTTCAATTCATTTATTATAGGTGCTGTTGTACTAGAAATTTCTTGTTTTTCTGAAGCTGAAAGACTGTATATGTTAGCTAAAGACACTTCTGTCAATGACAAGGCATTAACTGCAGTTATTCTCCCTGAAATTCTGGTAAGATCCATTGGCTGTCTATAGTAATATAAGACATTAATATATGACCTAATTGCACAATTCATATTTATTTAACATATTTTCTCCAATGTTTATTTTTATTTAATTTTGTTTTATTTATAAGATGCGTATATTGCTTCAATCTAATGGCTCTCAGTACATTAAATTTTATATATTGTTATAGAATTTCTGTAAAACACAGTTTGGCACCAATAGGAGTGAATCTCTGAAGGCCTTCTGAAATAATCAGGTCTTTGCAAACCTTTGGAAAGCCATAAAGAGTGAGCTACCTGTACTTCAGGGGGGAAACTGTTTCAAAAGTGGGGAGCTCCCATAGAGAATGCCCATTTCCATGATCGCACTAATCACACTTCACAGTAGATGAGGACATTCAACAGGCATTCTCTATTTGATCATAATGGTTAGGCAGAAGCTTTCGGGAGAAAGTGATCTCATGTATACCCAAGCCCTGAGCCATGTAGGGCTTTTTAAGTAATGATCTGTACTTTGAATTACACTTGGAAACATACTGACAACCAACGTAGTGCTTATAGTTATGTAGCAGTAATGGGATTGCCCCATAACAATATGGGGTGATACATTTTGAACTAATTGAAGTTTCTGGGTCATCTTCAATAGCCACATATAAAAGGAATTACACTAATCCAGGAGTGAAATGCCTACAGCATGAGAGACATTCTTCATCTCTAGGCAAGGTGACAACTGGGCAAAGGCCCTCCCAACCATGGCTTTCACTTGTTCTTCCAGCAGGAACCATGAGTCCAGAAGGTACCCCAATATCAGACCTGCTCTCAACAGGGGAACATTACCTGTTGAGAGCCAAAGTTAGTATTAATTCAGTGTCAGTAGACTTCTTAACCCCTTCATGGATCACTGCCTTGTCGTGGCGAAGGGGCTTGCATAACTCAGTGAACCCATGAGCTATACCGTGCGTGGCCACCCAAGACGGACAGGTCATGACAGAGAGTTCTGACAAAATGTGGTCCACTGGAGA